TAATATGTATTTAAAGATTAGTACAAATGATGTGATGGTTATTGTCAGTGATGCCAGTTGCATGAGTAATAGTAGGTGTTGTGAATATGTGTAGAATTTGTTGTGAAATCCAGATTTCATCAATTTGACTAAAAAGCTGATTACATTGCCACGTAGAAGTTTGTGAGTGATAAGTATGTATTCATTAATTAAAGTTATATAATATAAGATATTTGTATAGTATAGAGTGCTGTGGCCTATTAAGGTCTTAATTAAAGTTCCCATAATTACTAGAATAATATTAAATTGTTGTTCTTGTGTAATCCAAAGAATAATTTGGTTTTGTGTTTGTTTATTCATATTAGAGTTATTATGTAAGTAGGTAAAGATAATACAAAAGTTATTTTTATGTAGTAGATAAAGGTCAATTGCTATAGCAGTGTCTTGAAGAGTTTGGATATTATGAATATAGGTTGTAAGTAATTGGTTATAAGGATTATTGTTCTCGCACTGAACTTTCTTGGATGTTAAAAATTGGTAGTATTGTTGTTTGACATAAAGCATTTATAATTATTACTATGAAGTATATGATGAGTGTATTGGGAATATGCCAGTTTTGTTTCAGTAAGTGATATAATATTAAACTGTTTGCTAATGTAATAGTCTAGCCATAATTGCCTTTTGGTAATGTTATTGTATTCTTAGATATTGTATGTTGCAATAGTTAAATATTGGTGTATAGGTTTGTTGTTAGGTTCAATGATGTTATTCATTAACATAAAGTTAGGAAATGTCTATTGCCACTGTATTAATTGTAGGTGGCTCATTTGGTATTATAGTAGAAATGTTAAATATTTTCTATATTGGTGTAAATAATAATAGTAGGTTAAGTAAAAAGTCAAGAATTGTGCGAATAGTATAGTGTTGTCTAAGAATTTGCATTGTTGATGTTATTTCTGATTGTAAAGTTATTGGAAGAGTGAGTTGTATATTATTCTGGATTAATGCAGAGTTGACATCTTTTATATTGTTAGGTATAGGTGAAAGTGCTTGTATAGTCTAAGTAGATTTATTACCATCAGTATTGTTTTCTTGCTTTGCAATTTGGACAAGAGGATTTGTAATGTTAATCTATAGTAGTAGTAGTTATTTGAAGTAGAAATGTTGTCAAAGTGTTTTTGCAATTTGTATAAGTTGTTGAGATATTGTAATAGGTAGTGTGATGTTAAGTTTAACAAGTTCTTGGCTGTCTATTAATAGATTAGATTTGTCAGTAGGATTTGCTTACATTATATGATTAGATATTGGGAATCAAATACAGTATCATTGAGAAACTTCCTTAAGAAATTCTTTTGCTATTGCATTATCAGTTATTGAATAGGTGTATTGTAAGTTAGTGTGAATGAGATCTGAGTTATTAGGCAAAAGTAGTTTGGTGATAAAGTAATCGCTAAGAAGAAGTTTAAATATATAATAGTTTTTTAGCTATGCAACTGCCTTAGCTAAGAGTATTTTAGATGTAGATGAATTGAATAGAAAAAGACCTCTGATTTTGTAATTAAGTTCCTAATATGTAGTAGGTAATGGTTGTTTTGGTGATAGAGGTTGAAAATATGAATTTGGGATTACAGTAAAGGTGTAATAGTTAACCAATTTGCATCTAAAATATAAGAGATATTGTAATGATTGTCTGCTTGTAATTGGAAAATAAGTTTTTAATTCTGAAAAGAGTTCTTAGTATCTTTTTGGCAATGTTGGAAGTTTTGCAAAATAGTTTTCTGTAAGTTTATCAAATTTGAAGATTTTTCTTAATGCATTGATAGTAGTCCTAGTATATAATCTTTGTGTAATTGGAAATGTAAATAGTAATATTTTTTGAATTTGTTTAGAAATTTCATTAGAGTTTAATGATAAAGGTATGAGCTTTTTTTGAAGTGCACTGTTAATTGTAGCTCAAATAGATGTAGGTGTTTGTTCATTCTTATTTTGAATTTGTAAAAACTCTCTTGCATAGTAAATAGTCTTGTAAATCATGAAGGAGGTGTAGTTGGTAAAGTTGGTGTTTGAAAAGTATTGTGATATAAGCATTTGTTTGAGCATAGTATTTATAGTTTTGTGAATAGCTGCATCTGTAATTGTAATTTGGTTAGTTTGTTTATAAGCAGCCAAAGTATTATTGTACAGATTAGTAAATTCTTTCTGATGTGCTGGAGTAGTATTTGGATTTTTAGTAAAGATGATAAAGAATCTGGTATCAAAATACTTGAATTTAAAAAATATTGCTAGTAGGATTGTGAATTGAGTTGGTGTAATAATAAGTTTATGATCGATAAAGTCATAGATTTTGATTGGTATTAGGAGTGCTTTAGCTATTGCTTTATAGGTCCAGATTTGTTGATCAAATGGTGTATTAATTTTGTCAGTAATTTTGGCTTGCAAAATATCTATTATTCAGAATTATCAATATAATGAAACTGAAGTATATTAAGCTGCTTTTGTGTAATATAGCTATAAGTTAGCTTGATAGTATTTTGTGTATCTGATATTGTAGTCATAGATGTTGATAATAATATAGTAATATTGTTAGAGATTTTAAGTTGGGTGATCCTTCTGTATTAAACAGTTGTAGTTTAAATCATTTTTTGCTTTGGTGTTAACCAGTTGTTACTTGTGTTGTTTTAGATAATAATTGCTAATTTCTGCAATTGTATATTGTGAGAAGAAGGGGCATTTATTTCTTCTAGTATGGATTTTATATTTGGCCTGTATAGTACTATTTTGTGTCTATATTGTGGGCTAAGTTTGTATATTATTTACTGTTATACTTGCAATAATGGCAAATGTTAGTTCATCCTCTTGTTTAAAGTTATTTGTTTGTAATAGTTCTTTATCTATATTTAGTTCTGTAATCATATTATAAGGTAGCACTAGAGAGTCTTTACTGTTTTTAGGTATCTTGTATGCCTTCTATGCTTTTTTATATAACTGAATAATTATATTAAGATTACAGCTTCATGTGCTTCTGAAAAATTTGGTGCTAACATTTATGGAATTGTTTTTGGTAGTCAAAAAGTATTAATTGGAAAGCTTCTTTGTGCTTGTATAACCAATGTGTTGAAAAGATAATGAGATTGGAGACATAACTGAATTTAGTAAGATCAACTGTAAAGAAATATTTGTTGGTAAAGTTAGAGACAAGAAAAGTAAAAGTAAAGATGAGTTTGACAGAGTCTTTTATATTAATACTAATAAACTATTTTGCATATTCAATTCAGAAGTTGGTAGTTAAGGTTGTAGATAAAGAATTCTTTGAAATAGTAGATTTGCTTATAAAATAGACTAAGAGAGAAAAGGAAAAGATGTTTTGGAAGGTTGTTTGGTTCAGAGTTTGTGGTAGGTTAGTTTGTAAATTTTTTACTATTTTTTTAGTATTTTTTGGAGCTGACATCTTGTGTCTGTATGCTAAGTTAATAAAAATATAAAGGTTCTTAGAACCATTTTCACTGAAGTATAAGTTGTTTTTTGCAGTACTGTTTTTAGTGTTGTGCTATTTAGAGCTCCTAGTAAGAAGTTTTTCTGAGGTTGACATCTCTTTTAGATCAAGTTTAATATATAAAACAAGTTTAATCAAAGGCCCAAATTCAGTTTATTTAGTAGTTATTTCTGTATTTTAGCTAGAAAGTTTTTTGCTTTTTGTTCAGTTTTGGTAAAATAATCTATAAGAAGAGTTTTTAATTAAATTCATAATTTTTAAAATTATTTTCTGCTAAATCTACTTTATTGTACTAAAATCTTAAAAAATTAAACAGATTACTAAACAAATAAAAGCTTCTTTACTAATACAATACTAATATCAATATATCTTAATCATATTATCTTTTATTTTAATTTAACTAATCAACTTAATATTTATTCTATACCTAATTTTCATAAGCTTATACCAAGCTAGATTACTAGTACTAACACTAAATAACAAGTTCTTTACTATATTTGTAATATAGAAAACATTAAACAAATCTGAAAACAGATAAACCAACATATTGCTAATTGATGTTTTAAACTTCAAACTAATTCTAAAACAATTATTAATAATATACTCAACTGTTACAAGAATTCTGTAAAAATCAACAATATTAAAACACCAAATGATATTATAACAAATTTAAACTTATCAAAAAATATATTAAACAATACTTTAATAACTGAATTGCTTACAGGCCTATAGACACTTAGGAATTTAATTTTAACTAATTAGAGAAATACCAACCTAAGACTATAATTAGTTCAGATTATTACAGTTCAAATCTAGCTGAATTTTTATTAAATTAAATTTTTATAACTCTTAACCAACTTCCTAACAATAAGGCATATAGTCCATTTAAATTAGGTATAAGTTGCTTAAATAAGCAGGCTTTATCTTTTTCTAAACAATAACTGTTTTTTTTAATCAATGTATTCAAACTAACTATATATCTAAGCAATGAAAAGAGGGTCATATCTTGCTATAAAAATCAAAATAGAACTGATGTTGAGAAGAACAAAAATAAGGAAGCAGAAATCAAAAAAGATAAATGCAAAGCATTCAAATACTTTCAAACAACTGCTAATATAAATCATATAGAAGAAAACCTTAATGTCAGCTATTGCTATAGAAATTGAAGTGAAGTTGAAATGGCTAATCACAAAACATTTGGATGGTATTTGAACAGTGCTAAAAATAGTAATTTTAATAGACAACCTGGTTTGAACCCTGCTACAAAGAGAAAATTAAAGATCTACATGAACTGAATAAGAATCCTTCTAAAATTGAAGTTGAAAAAGAAAAATATAAAGCTTTCATTTATTATCAAAAATCTTTAGATATAAGACTGGACCAAGAACTATGTAACATTAGTCACTGTTACTAAGATAGAATGTTTAACATTAGTTATTATTACCAAAATAAGATTGGGGTTCAAAAAAACAAACAAATCAGTTTTGAAAAGATAAACAGCCAATGTTGGAACAGTACACAAAATCAGATGAAGATTATTAACAAATCCAGTTTGAAAACTTGAACAAAGTCTATAAAGACTAGAATAGAAGAGTTAGTAAGTTCAAAAGGCTAAACCAAGACAACTTACAATAGATAAAGAACTTCTATCTAGTCAAGCCTAACAACTATTACGAAAATAGAACATATTTAAAACAAGCAAAAGATAGTAATATAACAGGACAATTCTATTCTATTAAAGAAATTTCAGGTAAAAAAGAGGATAAATTGAGCCAAGTCAGATTTGTATTACTACAAGGCTTGATGCTTGATACTGTATCCAGTAAAGTCATAGAATAGTCTATAGAAAATATAAAGAATATAAAAAAGGCCCCAAAATGTATTTATAAAAAGAGTTTAATACAGAAATCTCAGTCTACTGAAGAAAAGAATGTAAAGTTAGCAAAGTGAAATAAAAGCCAACCTACTAAGAAGTATCAAATTGAGCAAATAAATAGTAACAAAAATGAAGTTCTTCAATACTTACTAACAGATATGCCATATAATCAAATATATAACCTTGGAGAAAAATGCTGTAATTAACTATTTGTCTTTGTTTTTGGTTGCATACAATAGTTGTACACATGAGCTGAAGCATATGGCAAGGGTTGGATCTTTCATCTTAGATGTAAACATTTGCTTTAAGTTATTTCAAATTAACTGTTATGTTATATGACTTGCAATTGATTTTCTTTTAAGTATAATATTAAAAAAAAAATAAAAAATCTCTGATTTTATATAAAAAGAGATATTACATTAAATGCGATCATAGGTGACATTACAATTTCATTCTTTATCGATGTCAATTCAGTATTCTGTCCTGTTAATAATCCACAATCATTATAGAAGAAGGTTAAGTATAGTATACATGACCTAAGCAAATAGGAAATATGATACCAGAAATTGTGATACTGAATATCATGACTAATCATATGAAAAATGCATGAAATGCAATAAGTGTAATAAATATAATAAGTTTAATAAGTTATATTTAAGATTGTAAATAGTATTTCAGATCTGTTTTACTATCTTGAGGCCAGAACCTATCATATTGTCTTCAATCGCACCTTTCTTAACATCACCTTACAGCTAACCCAAGTAGAGTAGATGAAGGCAACATCCATTTCCAATATGAACAGGTTGGTTCAGATTAACCTTTTTTTATTTAAAGAATAATAAGATCCTGTATAAAGACTTGTGTCTGTTATATATCTTTCTTTGAACCAAATATACATGTTTTAGATGGATTGTCATAGTCACCTCCAATTAGATAAGTATGCCACAATAATATCCATTTCACAGGTTCTATAGAATATCAGTTTTATCTCTGACTAGAGATGGGAAAATCAAGGTTTTTTTAAATCTACTGTATAGTCTGTATAACTTTAGTTTCTAGAACTCTTTATTCATTAGGTTTCATATTTATATATATAAAACATCAACTTCATATGTGTAAAGTTAGACTCTCATTATTTTAATTAATATTTCAAAATTAGTTTAAACATCAATTTTTGTTGTTTTACATTTTTTTTTTTACTTTTTCTCTGCATATCAGTGAATTGATAATTCTGGTCAAATTTGCAGATCATTTAGTCAAATCTATAACAAAACAACTTTAAATATGATCAAATGATCTGCACATTTAACTAGAATTATGAATAATAGGTATTATTAATCAGGTGATGCAGATTCATTTTTCTTTCAAGTCGATTTAAACTGATTTTTGATTAGTAATTCAAACCTGGATTATAAAACTGATCAGAATTATGAAAATTGCACTGTGTAGCCAAAAAAATGCCTGCGCAATAAAATACTACACAGGCTGAGCAGTGAAATATTACACAGGCTGTGCATTGAAATACTGCACAGGCTGCACAGTGTCCCATCTCTACCTCTAACACTATTAATGAAATCAATGTCTACTGCTATATAGTTGGTTAGCTAACATTACTCAGTTCTGATAAATCTGACCCAAAATTCTATGAAACATATCTGTATTTAGAAATAATTAACAAGTTCTTTCATTTAAGTCTTTAACAATCAGTAATTATCATTTTATCAGTCTGATAAAAAATTTGATGAAAAAAAATAAAAATTACCAAATATTTAGCATCAAAGCCTTTAAATTTATATTGTGACACTAATATTTGTGCCTAAAAAACTTATTTTTACTATCCTTTGTTATAGCATCTTCGATTTTACAGATGTATGCACTCATTTAAGTTTTTTTAAAAAATATTGAATGATGAATAAGTCACGTGGACCAATCAATTCCAAGATTTTGCGTACAGAGGCATTTGTTCCTGGTACCTACCTTTTAAAGTATTGTTTAGAGTGCTACACCAAGTCACGATGACAGATTACCCAATCATATGCTGAGAATTGTACATGCATATTTGAGTTGTCTGTAAACCATACACTATGTTGTACATTGTACAAACTCCATTCCTGGTATAAATACTTGTAAATAGTTTAATTAGTTTTAATGGATAAGTGACAAATTTTATATTTTAAATAAAGGCCGAAATGGCCCTAAGGGATGATATGTCTCGTTTGCTTGATCAATAAACAAGTCCCAATATATTGTATCATCTATAATAAAAACCCTAACACTATACCCAGCATAAATCCTGTAAAACCCAATAACCATCGAGTTCTTGTTCATGTGACTTACCCTACTTGTATTCATTGACCCAAAGTAACTGAAAGCCTTAATCACCCACCAGTCAAATCTAACACCCTCTTTCGAAAAGGTTACTTATCGTACATTACGTGAGATATTGGATTGTGGAGCGACTAAGTCGCAATCTACCAAACCCAACACTAGTTTGCAACAAACCTAATAGAGTACATAAAAGATAATTAAAACAGTAATAAAGAAAAAATAATAATTACAGATCAATTAGACATAACTTAATAACAACGATTTTCTTTCTTACTAACATCTCTACATCTTACATCACATCACTAAATCTAAAACTATAGGTTCATGTAATAATTCATGTAAAACATTTTTGTTAATGTAATACCAAATTGTTCAATAAAGACCAAGGCCAGCCTCACTCTTAAAAAAAAATAAAGGAAAGAAAAGAAAAAAAATATAAAATACTTACATATAGTTAGTAACAGTTATATTTCATAGTTTCACTTTTTTAATATCGGGTATTAAAAAGAAATAGATTATCAACTAGTTCCGAAATTTGGTAACATAAAACTAGTTAGATTCGGTCTATGTAGTGCACTGCCATTTCGAAACTAAAACAGTCTATCATAAACCGTTTAACATCCCTAGCCTAATCGAGACGAATCATACAAAAACTGATCGATCTATAACATACTATAAATCATAATTCTTAACTACGCCAAATTAGACATACCTACCTTAATACGTATATTCTTTAGGCCATATAAAATTAATTTTGGGTTATAAAATTTTAAAAAATAATCTGGCACCTGGCTTTTAATTATTATTTTCAAAAAATTATAAATAAAAAATTGTTAGTTTAATTTATTAAAAAAAATACACGGATAATGAATATGCTAAACCTTTTTCTTAAGTATTTGACCCGAACAGGCTATGAGAACCAAAAAGCTAACTTTGCTTTCATAAATATAACTTTTATACAAAATTACCATTTTATTTTATTATGAGTTTATATTTAAAATTTCAAATATTTAAATTATTATATATGTTATACAATCAAAATTTAAGTTATATTATTACTTTATAATTTAAAAAATAAGAAAAATAAAACCTGTAATAAAATATAAAATTTCAAATTATTTATGTCTACTTCTTTTGGTTTTAAATAATAATTATTTTTTAAATCCTTTATGCAGTATTTCATTTTTTGGCATTTTATTTAAATAATTATACAGTTCATTTTAATCATTTATTGTTTGATTTTTTTGATCTTGGAATATTTTTCTAAAATTGATAATAAATATATATAACTGATTATTTTATTTAAATATAATCAACTAAAAATTAAATACTTACCTCTTCAACAACTGATAGATATTATATATATGAGAAGTTAATAAAGTAGTTGGAAATTTAGTTTGTATAATATCCATAGAAACGTAATTAGGCCAACATCCTAAAAAATCATCATCTCCAAGATATAAAGAAAGAGAAAAGTTTTCTTGGATGGCTTCACTATTATTTAATAAATATCTTATGATAAATCTTTTCAAAGCAGTCATAAATGCCTTTGCAGGAATTTTTGTAGATCCTGGCGAAATTTTTGTTTTGAAATCTATTGTTTCTATAATAACTTGCTTTAAAGATTCATTTAATTTAGCTTGATATTTCAAAGGTATACAATTAACAATTATATCTGCCACATGCTCTTCAACTAATTCATACAATTCCACAATATGTTTAAGTTGCAATCCTGTTTTTATTAAAAATTCATAACTAAAATTTTTTTTGATCACGCTTAGTTTCATCCACTTTGCTATATAATCGCTAATCAAAGTATCACAATCTCCTCCAGATGCTTGCTTTAAAAAGCAAATAACTATTTCTAGAATTGAAAGTAATTCCATTTGGTTTGTTAATATTTCTGGTTTATTGTTAACGGGAATTGGCTCCTGATGCACTAAAGCTTTAATTTCTTTTAATATTGTCACAGACCTACTAAATAATTCTTTATGATACATAAATGCATTTAAATATATTTGATCTTTATTAGTTTCAATCAACTTCTTTCCATAAACCAATTTTATAGCTAATTCCGCTTCGATTTTGAATAGGTCATAATAAATTTCTCGCCCATGCCCTAGTCTAAGATCATGTTGACAATATAAAAAGATTTCACAAATATCATAATTAATTATTTGTTCCGACTTTGCATCCTCAAGATAAACAGATGGTAAATGATATTCTTGTTCGTTTGTTTGTGCATCTGGTTTTTCAGCAAATTTCAGTGATTGGCAAGCTCTAGAAGGAATTTCTATAATATCGTGTAGAAAATTGTTTTGCGATTGAACCAAGAATTCTATTGTTGCGCATATATATGAAGATTCATCAGTTGGTTCATGTACATATAATCCATAAACTATTGGAATTTTATTATGCATTTTAGGCATTTGCTGTGATAAGTTTTCACATCGATATCGTTTGATATGTGGAATTAAACAGTTCCACGAATTTGCAAAGTTATTAAATGCTGCATTTAAAAACTCTTTAATTTTTCCAGTATTGTCATCTTCACTTTCATTTTCTATAAATTGCTGAAAAGTTAATTGACGTGCCTTCTGTCTATCAATATTGTAGGAAAGACTTGAAGACAGTATTTGTATAAATTTTACAATTGGTAAAAGATGCTGAATTAGATTCAAATATTTTTCATGCTTCAAGAATATGTTTAATAGTGGGAATAATTCTTTATTTTTAGTATCAGACATATAGTAAGATCTAAAATTGTCCAAATTTGGTTTTGTGATTAATCGCCATAATAGAGGTAAATATTTCTCATTGTACTGATCAGTGATTTTCATAGTCTCATTAATTTCAAGTGAATTTTTTGTATTCTCATCCAATTTTATTCGAAAATTATTTACAGTTCCTACAAAATTTTTGATGCTTGGTAAAACATATCGTTGACTGAAATATTTTTCCCAGTTATCTCTTTGGGCTGGTAATGTAAACTTTTCTACATTTTGCGAAGATTCTTGTGTCATGTCTAAAAGTGTAGCATGAATAAATAATGCCAAAGTTTCATTTTCGCAGTTAAAGATGCTTTTTAATGCCTCCCAGTCATTTTCAATGTGTTTCTTGCAGTATTGAGCAATATTGCAATCCTGATTATTAATAAAAGCAGCAGTAGTTGGTAAATATGCCTGGACACCAATAATTATATGTAAGAACAAATGAAGAATTCTATAAGAAGCCGGCTGCAAAGTTCTAACACTATGATACGTATCAAATATATCTTCAATAATGTAGCCTTGTTTATCATTTACAGCAATAGGTTGTTTTATTTTATATTTATCTATACTGTTATTCCTGTCTCGTAATATATGAAATGAACCACCAATCTTGTTTTTACATTGATTACATTCACCAATTTGAAATGGATTTCCACAGTCGCCAATAAAGTAAACATTTCCACATTCACATTGATATCTATAAAATTTAGTATCCTGATTTTTTAGTATTGTTATTAAATAAATGATAAGTTAAATAATATACCTTCTTGTTCCAGAATCATTTTTGATTATGACATTTGTTACTAAGGCCATTTCATCTGATGGACAAGTCAATATATAAGTATCTTTGTAATCATATAATGTTTGCATATATGCAGTTAAAGGAGAAGTATCAACAGCACTTGAAATATGCAATGCCACAACATGTGCAACGACTGAAGAAATAAACACGTCAGAATTATTAACATTTGGACTTAGATTGTATAATTGATGCTCATTTGCCATAAAATTTAAAAGATGTATTTTATAACTCTCCGGGAGTTGAGCTGATCGTAAGCACTTAGAAATCTTTTCTATTAAAATATTTTCATCTGGATTTAATTCACGTGATGCTCTAATAAGATAAAATTTTGATACTATTACTCCGACTAATGAAATCTTTTGAATTATATCATCGTTTTTAGTAATCATATTAAGTATATCATTTACTGATGATTCATCGCTGCGAGCAGAAATTGTTTTAAATAAAATATCAATCTGCTTAAATTGTTCAAAGCACCAATAAGGGTTAAATCCAAGGCGACTATCACAATTTGTTTTTAAAATTCCGACCCACGGTAGAGTCTTTTGTTGTGCATCACAGAATTGTTTAAGTTCATAAGTTGTTAGTCCTTTCAAATATAATGAATTGAGCAAATACATTGTGAATGAATAAATCAAAGGATGTGCTATTCTTAAATGCTTATTCAAATCATCAATATTAATATTGTCATTTGCAAATTTGAATTTTATAGGAGTGGTCAAAAAATTTTTAATAGATTCTGTACAACTCCAAAATTCGTTTGCAAATACTTTCAAAAGAGCAATTGCAATAATTTTCTGTAATGCTTTGGAGTTGCTAATCAAAATATCTATTGCTTTTAGAAAGTATTCAGACAGCTCTTTGAATTGATATTTTGCTGAGAGTTGTATCTGAATGACATCACAACATAATGCTGCAATTTCCGAACCCTTTTGCTTAGACAAGACATTTTCAATAACTTGAAGCCGCTTTGTATTTTTTAACGCTTCTGAACTATTAATAAGATCAAAAAACAATGATTCTTTTTGCGCCCTATTTTCGGATTCAAAAATTAAGTAAATAGTGTGAAATGTAAATGTTAAAGGTTTTTGGGAAAATATCTTTCTATAAAGATGAGAACGGACAGGTGACCCAAGCGAAATTGCATTCAAACATCTAGAAATAAAAGAGCGTCTTGAGTATAAATTAATTTCTGCTTCCTCTGTTTGATCGAACATTTCAAAAACAATGTCAATGGATTGTTTTGAAAATGGGTCGGTTATATATTGTCTAATTTGAAGCAGTTGTGCTAAATGAATTGACTTAGACAAATCATAGTATACTCGAAGCATATTTAATGATGGATTATCAAGTGAATTTGGTAAGTTATAAAAGATTGGCAAAAGATTTGCAATATCACGTTGCCAATGTTGAAGTTTAGTTGAATCATCCTCATCATTGTCGTTAGAATGTTTTCCAGATCTATTTTTCTCTTTATTGCTTTCATTCTTTTTTTCATCCAAATTATGTTCATTGATGTTTTTCTTACAATTATTGCCAATAATATCATAAAGTTTATTAACCATAATATCTGATTCTCGGTTTAATAAATAATTCTCGAGATTAAATCCTCTGTTTTCATCAAGCTTGGTATTAAGGATTTCTTCCACAATACTTGGGAATGATAAGACCAGTTGCAACTCAGTTAATATTAAATCTTCATTGTCCCACCAAAATATATGAAGCCTTACAGGATCTGGTACTTCTTGCTTCATATGAAAAGATATAACTTGGCGTAATATTTGACTATTATCGGTTTTTCCATACGAGTTAAAAGTCACAAAATCATTAAAATACGCATTTTGCAATTTAAATTGTGGTAATTTTAGAACAGGAACCACGGAAATAATGTGTTCAGAAAATCTTTGAATACAATCATCAATAATATGTAATTTGATATTACCAGTTTCTTCATCAATGTTGTCTGGGATTCTCTGTAACGCCATTAAATCATCCTGATATATGTTTTTAAATTTATTAATCTGTTCCATAAAATATCTTGAAAATGGAAGTTTCAAACCAGGAAACTCGTTCTTTATCTTATAAGGCATCTTTAGATTCTTGGTGTTAACTATCTTGGTATTCATCAAAATTGGTTCCCAAAAAGCGAATAAATTAGAACTATTATCTTCATTACAATTCTCATTATCACTCTTGTTTTTTTCATTAAACAAATTGTCACTATCAAGGATTAAAAGACCTGATAATTTTTCTAAAGCAAATAAGAGTTGAGCTACAGGTTTTCTAACCTGATGACGAATATACATTTGTAAAGCGATTGAAAACGATGAATATAGATATAAATCTCTTTTGTTTACTGCGACTTCTAATTGCCAATTTTTAAATTGTTTATCGTTATCATGTAGCCATTCAAATGTTCTGATCTTCATCCAATTCATGAATTCCTTATGACACGGGATTTTTTGAGTGAGAGATCTATAAGATAGCAAGATAAATTATTTAAAGTAAAATAAAAAATATTAAAAGATAAAAATACAAATATACAAGGAAAAAGGTGACTTACCTAATATAATCTGCTGATTCGTAAGATGGTGGAAATTCTATGCAAAGCAAACACCATAACAACTCATGATCAATAACTTTTTCGAATGTATATGTCATTTCCAGAACAGTTATCAAATCCTCATCTAAATAAGCTAGAAGTGAATTTTCTTGGGGAATTAAAGTTTCTATAGCAAATAAATCCCATCCACACATGAAATTAAATGGTGATATTGTAAAGGTCGTATTTTCTTTTCTCAAATGAAGAATTATACAAACATGCTTAATATGCATGACAGTGTATCTGCTTTTCACAAATTCAATTTTATATTGTTCTATAATGAATTTTGCAAGTTTAATGCATTCTGAATTTGCTGTATCCAGATCACATTGTAAAATTAGAATGTTATCTTCAGATTCTAACCAGAAATGTTTAACACGGGAACGAAACTGAGCCTCACTCTTAAATGTTGAGAGTTTATCAACCTGACATTTTAGAATATTATTCAAACAAGATTTAATATCCGTGTTAATATTCGAGAATGTGTAAACAATTGTATTAAAACCTTGTGCTTTTTTAGCATCTTTCAACAATGATCTAATATAACCAGGGAAATCTTCATGATATTGTTGAAAGTAAACCTTATGCCAATATTCTATATCTTCACTACTTAACATTGCATTTTTTGTGCGTACAATTCCATCCGGCAAGGCGATACCTATCAATTGTTCTTTGCACTTGCGTAAAATGTTCGCATAATCTAATTCTGAATCATTGCTATTGCAAATCACTAAACTTTGCAATGTTTCTTCCTTATCAAATCCAATAAAAATGTCATTCTCGTTAAAATTTGTAGTATCACCTTCTAAATTTAAAAGTGTTGATATTTGTTCCGACCATTTTGCAAGTTCATTTAACAGTCTTTTCATGACATTATCTATTATCATCTCGTTGATAGCCATTTTTTGTTTTTCAAATCGATTTAATAATGGTGGGTCAGAGTAATTCACGTCCTTTTCGTCAAGAACTAATATACAACGAAAATTTTTATGAACGCAGACCATAGGATTCGAATAAGCTCCTAACGCAACACGTGTATAAAACGGTTGATCCCCTTCTTTTCCTACAGCTATATAATTTTGATTCCATAAATCATAAAGGCTTCCTGTAAAATTTTTAAAGAATATACGTATATATTAATGGCACGTGTACAAATTACGTTAAATATAACATGAACATCAGAAATAAGATAACAAATACTACCATATATTGTATTAAGATCTGTCAAAATTAAAGGTATTCCCGCTTCCACACACATCTACAGACAGTAAATATTTATTGGAAAATATTATTACCAATACTATAGAAGCTATAATAAATTGAACTAGCCTACCATAATACGGCTTAATACACTATACTGGTAATCGCCATCAAAATCGTCAGGAAATTGACTACCATAAATAACAACAGGTTCCAAGTCAAAATAATCATCGTCAGATTTAGAAACTTCATCTACAAATTCTTTATTCCATTGTTTTAATTTATATGTCAAGATGTCTACAATTGAACTGCTTTTTCCAATAATCATTAAATGACGCGCATTTTTATCTTTCAAGTTGGCTTTAATAAGATCTTCAATTGAATAATTATTTAAACCATCAACAGAACAATTAAATGCTGTTATAACTTTCTTAAAGTGAGTCTCATAAAGCTCATTAATTTGATTAGTTCCACCGAAGTTTCTTGCTAATGCTATTGGTGCAAGCTATAATAAATAAACATGTCAACATATATTCTTATCATGAAATGGGTTTATACATCAATAATATGTAAGAAAATATGAACAAGTACCTCACCACCACCAAGGCTTTTAACCAATGAATAATAATCTCGAAGTCCATGAAAGTTATTAACAGATTGAACCCTTTTATATTCAAGATAAGATTCTGCTAAAGCCTTAAATTGAGATTCCGTGCTCTTTCCCAGTAAAAGTTTTGTTGTGTAAATAAGATCCTCTCTTTCAAGGTTGGGTCTAAAAGTAATGTATTTAAATCATTCTTGATTTAAACGTTAGACTCAACATCTATTTTAGAAAACAAACATATATAAACCTTTGTACTAGTAAAGCCCTGCTTGACTTGGAATTATCAAGTCTCCAATTACTTATTCCAATAATAGCAACTTCAGGACATCCTGCAGGAAAATTTGGTTCGAGTAAAGAGTGTAAAACTTTTAATGGATTATGAGGACTTTTTTCAGCTAATCCGACTGATTAAAAACAAGCATATTGTATTAAGAATATAGTTAAAAAAGTTAAATGTAAATATCTACAGCAAGATAAATAAATAAATAAAGATTATTAAATATTTACTTTCATCAAGTAAAACAACAGTGATTAATGGAAACTCCTCCGAGTTTCCTTTCTGATAATTCTTTGCTTTATCAAATACTTTAATAATTCCGTCTGATGTTGAAGATGATGATCCTTGATGAGGGAATAAATATACCTGTAAAGGCAAGCAATTCATGACAATTGATTTTTGAATAAAACATTATAATTCTTCTAGCATATTTTTGCTTACTTGAGGAAGAGTTCTGAAATAGGGATCATCAGAATCTTTACCACGGAGACTTTGACTAACTAGACGAACGGCCAGAGATTTTGACGCACTAGATTTGTTAAGGAAAAATAAATAATGTTATTTTTTACAGAACATCAAACGATTAATAAAACTTACCCAGGGGCACCAACGATAAATAATGGAATACGAGTTAATATGCATACAGTAATCACAAGTACATTCTCAAGGAGAGCAAAGTTCTCAGCAACCATATTCGGTTTCGTCATACGTTTCATAAAATCTTTTTGTTCTTCATGGACTATCTTCATAAAAATTTCAGAATTTATTTCTACCTCACATTCAATTTTCTTAAAAATTTCACACATTTTATCCCGATATCGATTACGTAACTTTTGATCAAAAAATCGAACTTGGTAACAGAGGCTTAATGCTAATATGTAGGATTTTATAATATTATCTAGCCCTACGCAAAAAATTTGAGGTTTGAGATCGTTCTGTTCTTCTGATATTTTTTGACGCTCGTTAAGACTTTTGAAACAAAATTCAAATATGATTATTGCTCTTTTCACATCACGCAAGCTAACACTATGCACTCCTTCATGATCTCTTATAAATTCTTGAGACGCAGTTAAAAGTTCTGTGAATAAGTCTGCTTTTAGCGAACCTTCCTGAGATTTTTTGACCAACATATTTATATAGATCTTTTCATCCGAAGGCTTTAAAATACCATAATCCCAAACATAGTCTAATATCTGATCAGGAAGCGGTCTTACTTGATAGGCAAGATGGCTCTTTTCTTCATATCTATCTATCCGAAGTCCTGCTTGTGTATCAGCTTTTTGACGAAAACGATAAGGATTACATGCTGCGAAAAGTCTGATATTGCTATGAATTTTTTTTCCTAAAGTTTATAACAAATTAAGACTTTAATTTGTAATTATTATCATAGTGTGGTAATTATTAGCATAAAACTTTAAAAAGATGTACAAACCTAGAAGTAACCGATGAGCGATGAGATCCGCGAGAATGCCAATATGGTTGCATGTATTAATTTCATCAAAAAACAGCCATATTTCACTTTTCTCTGCAAGCATTTCTGCCTCAAATAAAAAGCTGAGTATTTGTTGCTTAGTTACGCCAGCATGCAGGTTTAGGATTCGAAATTCAACATTGACAACATCTGAAAGGAACTGAATGAGACTCGTCTAAAATAATATTGACGAGACAATGTGTTAGTTTTACAATAGTTTAATGCATGCTGGCAAAATTTTAAAACTAATTACCTTGCCGCATCCTGCTTCACCGCAAATTACTACTGGCACATTTGCCCTTGATCGCAATAAAATCAATGCCATTTTCAAAAGATTATCCGCAGAAAGTACATATGAATTTTGTGCATATTCACGCCTTTCGTGTGTTGTTCGTGCCAAAGACTCCAATATCTTCAAGATATCTTCAGGAGACATATTATCATAACTATCTAATTCGAAATTTGATGTTGCAGGAAAGTGTTGACTTTGCAATAAATCTTTGACATTTTTTGGAACTTTATTTCTGTCGCGATAAAGCGCACAAATCGAATCAGGTGATTGTGATAAGAAAAATACTAGTAAATGATTTGAATCCTCCCAAGGTTTGATGGTTGTGATGACCAAGTCCTCGTACTTTTCATTGGATAGATTTTTAACCTGATCCTTTTTGGAATTCACCGAACGAGTTGCAATATCCATAGATACTTCTATCAACGTTTCTAGTAACGTCTTTCGGATGTTTTTGATATCATTCCTCCTGAAACTCGACAAAAGAGATACAAGTAAAGTAGTTCTGTTTCCTGCAATCCACTCTAATGTATCTACACGAAAAAATGTACTGGACGACATTCGCTTTAGTTGATCCGCAAGAATATTGACAAATATTTCAAGAAAACGATAAGTCATGATATCTTGAGTAATATTATCAAAGAAATACTTCTGCAACAGTTGTCGGCAGCGTGTCTCAGGAATCAGCTGTTTTTTATCATCAAGGTCAATGTCAACTTTATTGATTGTATCAAGATCATGCGCATCTAAATATCTTGCAACAATTTGAATAGAACTGTTCACATCTTGAGGAATAATTATATTGTCAATATTCCATGCCAGATGTCTTTTTTCCAAATGTCCGATAATGGGTATAGTGTTAAGTAAGTCTTGGTTTATGGTCGATTCTACCTCTATATACATTAATGTCGATGGGATGCTTAAGAAATCAGGTTTATCCATTACAAATTTAAATGAAAGCAATTCGAATAGAAACATGTTTAAATCATAATGATTGTCTATTAGCATGATATTTAAATGTAAAATTTCGTCACTTTTTAATCTGATTTCTGATAAAGTACGTATGATCATTCCAACTGTCATTCCATCACTTATTAAAAATTTTCGGGGGGTCGACCCACGAATGAGATTTTGCTCTTCAATCCATTTAGTCTTTCCTTGTCCAGATAAATCAGAAGAAACTACCAATACATTAGGACACAATTCTTTGTAAATATTGTGCATGTAATTTGCATCAAAACCTTGGATCGCGTGTATATTTTCTGAAAATTGATCGAGTATATGATGATGTATACTATTTTCGAGACAGCAAATCAAGGCTAGGTAAAATTGTTTTTCTCGTTGACATAAAGAACGTAAGTTTGATACCAATTGATACTGTAATTCAAAATTCAGAAATTCCACATTTGCAATACAAAATAAGTATTCTCCATATCCATTTTTTGAGGCAAAAAAGCATCGTTTTGCGAAAGTCAAGAGCTCTTCTGCTGTGGTTGAAGATTTACAAATTAAAAGTTGCCATGCCTCCGGATAGCGTTTATTATGTGAGTGGTATAAGGACATAATAATGTTAGGTACTCGAAATTTATCATTACACTTCGCGACAAAAAGATTCCCTCGATGAACCATATAGGCTGTGTCATGTTCAACAATAGCCGTCATTTGGCGTTGCATGATATGGATTTGACTGAATATTTCATGTAATATGGTATCAATCTTACAAAGTATAGCATAATAATTTTTAGATTCAAGAGAGATTTTAAGGATATCAGAGTCGATGTTTGGTAATTTTGCTTTACCATTGACATATCTCAAGAGCATCGAACATCTTTCCTTGATATTAGACCGAGTAGTTGCAATATTTTCATTGCATGAAAAATAATCATAAAAATTTAAAATATGTTGACCTAAAAAAAAGGTCAAATAATAGTGGTTTTGCTGTGCTTTATTAAAATTTGTTTCCCAGTTTTGTAAATCATCAAGCAAAATCTTTAACAAGATTTCCATATCTTGAGTAGTATGTGTAGATGTTTGAAAATCACGGTATTTAAAATGCCCAAGTTCTTTTAGCGATGAAGCAACATCAATTATTTCTTGTGCGAGATCAACTCTGATGACAAATTCATTCATGTGAGCTGATGTGATTTCGTTAGTTTTAACACTTTTATCATCCGAAGTTTTCTCGTTAGTAAAAGCCTTTGTGTTGATGATTAATAAGGCACGACTACGTAAAGACTGAAGGTCATCAAAGGTATAATTTGCAATACTGTCTCGTAAAATGTCAGAAGAATACGATAACGTTGCTGTATATTTACTCTCATCATCTTCCATTCTCTTAAATAAATATACTCCTTTTGTCACTGAATAAAAAATCTTTTCTTTTGTCATTTCACCACGATTCGAAATATTTCTGTATATAATCTTTAATGCTTGGGCATTTGCATTACACAGTCTTAGTGCAGAAATCAGAGATGGATTCATGTTTACGATATTAAGTAGAATTTGCAAGAATTCTTGCACCGCGGAATGCTCATTGTTTCTTTCCTCTATTAAAGGCTCCAAGATCTGTTTTACTTGAATAAATTTTTGGACAATATTTTCTTTGATCAAGCGCTCGTCTGAATGATCATCTACGCCATTAATTAAATGTTTAAGATCATGTCCTACGAGTGATTTAAGAAAAACAACAAAATCTATAGTGGAAGAGATTTCTTTAATTGTCGACCAATCATAATTTATCATTTTTTCAATTTCATTAAGTCGATCAAAAATTTCGCATAGCTGGCCAAGTAGTAATTCCTTATCTTCTAACTTATTTATTAGTTCTTCAACCCAAAAATCTTGATCATGTGGAATAATATCTAATCTTTTAATCACGATCACAAGTTGACGTAGTCTTTCCAGTGTTGATGAGATATTAACTAAAAGTTTCACCGAACTGATCAATCCCTGAGCATTGTATGTTGTTGTTCCTGATACGTTATCAGGATTGCTATTCGACTTGAGCTTATAAAAATAAGGTATCATAACATTAATTTCATCATCAACGTGCTCCTCATTGACATTTTTCCAGAATTCATCTGCAACAGCGCATTTAACTTCTTCCCATTTATCATACGCTTCGCATATAATCTTATAATTTGTAATGGCCTTCCTAATAATTCTGTTTATTAACTGTCTAACTGTTAACTTCTGCCCCACCAAGGTCTGAATGATTCGTTTACTAATATAATAATGAGGATTTCCCATAATTTCAATTGCTGACTTTTGCTCCAACAAAATTTGAAAGACGTTGTAGAAGGTTTGTGAGCTAACAAGGTCATAATAATCTTTCATAATTTCAATAGACACAGAATGCATTGACCAGTGAACTTCGGTGTACGATTCCTTGAGTGTGATATCAATTGATCTTTCTGATAAATCATTAAAATATAGTTGCACGTCTGATACTAATTGAGAAGGGCAGAATCGCTCATAAAATTTTTGGAGACGTTCCAGAGTTAAATTATATTTATGACACTGATTGCGACTTTTTTCTATATCTTCATCTGTAATTACAACGTGTTCTGGACAATTTTCTATGGCGGAATTAATATAATCCTTGAGAATTTTGTCGTTATTAACGAAGGAAATAAATATTTTTTGAAATAATCTTATTGTGATGGTATTATTTTTAATGTTCGTGGCTATACGAATCACTATTTCATGTACTTCTTTAAAATATGAATGAGAACGCAGCTTTTGTGTGTGACCTTCTGCCCTAAATATGGTTGTCCAAAATTTCGCAAATTGAAACAATGAAAGTTGAAAAGACTCTGTGGAGTCTGTGTCAGGAAATTTACTGTTTTTCGCCTGTTGTAAGTGACTAAGTATAAAACATAAAATTTCTTCACAAGAACTAAATTTGAAATTCGGTGTTAATTTAGGTAATATTATAAAGCTATTTTAAACTTAAACGTTTAAGGCTGCTTACCAACTTCGAACATTCAAATTCGATTTGCTATCACAAATTTGCATAATCTTTTCCAAAAGGCGCTCATCAGGATCTTGAACAAGAGGCCTAAGTCTTTCCTTCACCAAAGATATAACATAAGTTATTATATCTTGATGAAATACATCGACATGTGATGTAATGGCGAATACAGATTCATCGGACAATAACCTATTAATGTCACGATTCATCAAATTTTTTAAAATTTCTCGACCACCAAATATCGAAGTAGAATACATCGTTGAAAGATGACAGAAGACGTTGTAAGCCGAACTTTCTTGAACTTTTGAAACCGGTTTTTTTTGGTTATATATCTTTAAAAACCATTTTTTTGACTCTTGTTCGAGTTTTCTTTTAATTGCATATAACTTTAAACCTGAGATATATTCAAAAATTTCAGGAAAAGATTCCAATACATTTACTTGATCAGACCCAACGATTGATTCGAGTATGTTAGCATAATCTTTATGTTGCCATTTCAAACCAGAATCTTTAAGAAGTTTATGGAGTGAGTCAATGTTCTCATCATTCCAATCTGATTCTTTTCTCTTGATCAATTCCCAAAGTTTACTACGAATTTTACTCGGAAAATTACTACGAATTTTACTCAGAAAATTACTGTCATTCTCCAATTCTTTAAAGTGTTCCCACAAAAGTACAAGGCATTTCGCATCATACGACACTTTAGTAAGCATATCTATAATTGTATTCAATTCATTAGCATTCTTGAGACCATTAATGTTTAGCTTTACTTCTTTCACCAATTTTATGAAGTGTTCGGGTGTCTCTTTATAGTCATACACTTCTATTGAATCAATAAATGAGTATGACGCATCAAACTTAGGTGCAAGTGCAAACATTGTGATCCAATTTGGTAAACGGTGTTTAGAATTATATTGGACCAAAGCATTAATGGCCTTTACCACAAGTTTTGCATCTGAAGGCATGGGGCTAGAATTATCACAGACGTTTTTAAATTCTTCTATCATGATGTGGGATGGAAATCCATCAGGAAGACTAGCTTTACAAAACCAAAAGCTTGGTTTGTCTATGTAACAACCAAGAAGAACACACAAAAATAATGTTTGTTCTTTTGTTCTGCTCGTTTCTAAACACTGGGTAATGAAATCGGTAATTTTTGTATATTCTGTACTGTATTTCTTTAATATGTACTTATAATCCATGATTCCACTTTTCAAATCGTCAGGAGATTTGATAGACATGTAAATGTAATCAACAAATGTATAGTCTTTTTCATTTGAAGTGTGATTTCTTTTAAATATGTTGAGTCTATCGTAAAGATTTCCACGACGGTTTGTTTTTATATTGGGAGAATAACCAAATTCTGATTCTGATACAAATTGACAATATTCATATTCAATATCTAGGTTTACTGGAATGCGCACAGAATCAGATACCCAAAGAGTGGAATTGGGAATCCGACGAAGCCATACTTCAAATGATAACCAATTGCTTGAAGCTTCGCTATCTTCATAACATACTCTAACTACAAGTTTTTGGCACGAATCTATATCAAATGGTAAATTAGCATGAAAAATCGTATCCATGTTAGAATACTATCGCTATTGCTTCTTGCTGAAATAGAAAAAGATAAGAATCCGATTATGTTATAGTTTTGATCACGTAATGCATTCATTGTCGCCTAAGTTGGAAATGGGGGATCTCCTTGTATTGGCTAATCGGTAAAATTGGACCCTGAATAGGGTCACTGAATTTAATTTAACCCCTTATTTAATTTCTGTCTGATGAATTATTGCACCCAGAAAATATTGGTTGAGTTCGGATAATCGCCCGGATGATAGTCCAGATGATTATTTAAAAAAATACATATTGACACGAGCGAAACGGCGAGTCAGTCTCTTGACAAATGGATACGTCGTGTAACCTACGAACGGCTTAGTCGATAAGAGGCGGTTAGATTTGGAGAGTAGTGTGTTTATGATCGTAGGTTTTACAATATATTGTCACGAAAGCAGGAACTATTTGGGTCAAAATGTATTGCAAGCACGAAAACTGCTCCTCATGTAGGGCTCAAAGCCTTTATTATATATTGTTCTATTACATATGCGCTCCTGCAGCTATTAAACATATTAAACGTATTATTTAACGTATACACTTTTAATGTCCTATATTACTTAAAGCCCCTAAATATCATATATCCCTTTACTTATAGTTTTCCCTTAAAACCCTTATTACCGCTATTACCCTTATAATTACTAAACGACTTTTACGACCGATAATCCCGGGAAACCCATTTTAGGTAGATGATCGACATAGCCGTTAATTGCGTTACTGCGCCACATCGATCATCCCTTCCACGTGCTTCCGGGATCACGTTTCCATTGCTCACAAAAGGTAGCTGCGCAACGTTGTCAGGAACGGAAGGTTATGTTGTAATTCACAGTTTATTTATTAATATTTGTCAAATAAAGAATCCAATTTGTTAAATTTAAGGTCGACCAATTTGATTTAGTAATTTAAATTACTCTGTTTTGTCATTTCTTTTAGCAAAAAAAAGTTTAGAATATATATGACTTTCTGAAAAATTCTAAAAAAAATTGAATAAATATGGAAGATGAACAAAGTTAAGTGAATCTTTTTGGTTGAAAAAAAATTTCATAAAATTTTTCATATAAGCAATCATTTCCTCTTTTTTAAGAAAGGAATGTAAATTAATAAATTAAATTGAACTTGTTAGACATGCATGTGATGAATTATAATTATACTATTTCTTTATTTTTTATTATTATCTTTTTCATATTAGATCTTTATATTTTTATCTAATTATTTATATTTAGCTTAGTTAGTTTAGTACCTCAAATATGATAAAATAACAGATAATTATTATGAGTATATAGTAAATTGGTACTGTACGAAAACGCAAATTAGGGCAGTCAAGTGGAAATCATGATAGTCTGTATAGTTTTTAAAAGAAAAAATTCTCTCGAAACAAGGCTAATTTTCTATAACTGCACACGAAAAAAGAATAATGCGCGCACTTGCTCTAACCGTAAACATCAAAAAAGAGTTTACTTGTAAAGGATTAGGTCTCCTTTTCATTTGTATGAGATGTGACGAATTGTAAACGAAATCTGTGCAAGACTTTGTCGATCATCTGGCTAGATTGATCGACATCAGCTTGTATTAAGTTAATTTTAAAGTTAATATTAAATTAGGCTTAGATCGGATTAAAAAAGAATTTAAATTAAAAGTATATGTCAAAATTATGAGAGGAATTTTCTTGATAGTTCCCGAAAAGTAGTTTCGTAGGCGACATTTTAAGATAGTTAATTTTGTCGACCATGATCGACAAAACCTGCCACAGATTTCTCACTTGCTGATAAAGCATTATTGTGGCGAGTAAGCATTACGTATAACTGTATTAACGACATAAATAGTAACCAACCGCATTAAAAAACTAATGTTAACTCGAACACCAATTTGATTGACCTCTTAATATAGCTCTCAATAACAAGAGATCAACCTTTATGAGGTATCGTCAAGTTGGAGTAAGTGGAATAATTATTTTATTGCAGAAATCGTACACAAACATAACAAATATTCTTGGTCAATAAAATTGTATTAAAGCAACCGATAATTTCATAACAAATTATTGTATTACCAATGATTACTTAAAAAATCGTCCAACGGTTTCTTTATTAATTATGGCGCAAGCCTGCATATGTAACACGTGCCAGATAAACAAGATATAAATCAGGATACCATACCATTTAGAACCATGCCCAATCAGAAGCCCGTATTTGGTATATATACAGATTAATTTGTCAATATCGATATCAGATACAAGCCCTATATTAACGCAAATGTAAATTAAGCGATAACAAAACCGGATAGTTCAACAAAAAGGAAAGCGGGCGCTGATATTACATGGAAAAAAAATATCACAAGGCACAATACATAATCGATGATTCCAACGAAATCACAAGTTATAATTTGACGTACACAAAAGATAATTATCGTTATAGTAAGATAACAAACGCATGCACACGTTAGCACACAAAGTCACAAGAAAGTACCATCCAATCAGATGCTCAGATTCCGCGACTCCACTTAACTTGCTACATGACCAACACTTCGTATTTCATACTCCGTTCCTGGTATATATATATTATATATTGTGAGCCCGATTTTTGGGGTCACAGGTGACCGAATCGAAGCAACGATCCTGACCCGATCCAAGGTCACACGGACGTGACGGAAATGTCACTTATGTTACTTACGTCGCTTCTCCGACTTCGCATACATATGAGTTAAACGAAATATT